ATAGAATATTTATGTTAAAGAGTATTAAACCATGCATCCAAAGCAAGATTTTACTTGAAAGATTGCTGTTTTATATTTACAGTTGTGTTTTTACCTAGGCATAAAATATTCAGAAAACTATTTTACCTAATTATGTTCCAATTGCCTCAGGTATATATTTTTATTATATGATAACATCAAATGACCCATCACATTCAAAATGTAATTATACATTTTTTCATAGACAGATTAACATAATTATATGCACCAAATGAAAAAAATCCACTTTTTATGAAGTTTTATGACTTGACTATATTAAATGATAATTTGCCTAACAAAAACTTTAAACTGCTGCATTTTAAAAGGTATGTTTTCCTTCTCTTTGTAGAACCAAGATAACACACACCTGTGTTATAAAGCCCTGATTAAGAACACATATATTGCCCCTAGTTTGTCTGTGGAGAAGGTTTTAGAAACATTCTTGCTACCACCCTCAGCTTGGGGGTGCAACCAGTGTGGCCTGAATAGACACTAAACCTCAAAGAGGCACTTAGGGGACAACCCGAGGAACGCAAGTGGAATAAATCGCCGCAGCCCAGATGGTTTCATCTCAGAATTCAAAAAGAAGCCGAGTGTGAGACAAGCCGCCATGGCAGACAAGGACACTTAGAGGTTGTAGTGCATCGAGCACGCATGCTCACTCACCCTACCTCTTAAACAGCAATGCCATCATTTTGACCATCAATCCCTTAGATCTTATTCTTTGGCTGTAGAGCTCACAGTTTTTTAAAAAATATATATTTTATTGATTTTTTACAGAGAGGAAGGGAGAGGGATAGAGAGTCAGAAACATCGATGAGAGAAACATCCATCAGCTGCCTCCTGCACAACCCCAACTGGGGATATGCCCGCAACCCAGGTACATGCCCTTGACCAGAATCGAACCTGGGACCCTTGAGTCCGCAGGCTGACGCTCTAGCCACTGAGCCAAACAGGGCAGGGCTAGAGCTCACAATTTTGACTGTTCTCACAAAATAAAAAGAAGAAATCTTTCACTTACTCTTTTAGTTGTTTGTATTCGTCTCACCCCACGTGGCCTTGTAAGGGAGGCACATTTCAGAAAGCTCCAGGGGAATCTAAAAGGAGGAGCAGACTCACACCCAGCTCCGGAGGAACCACAAACACTATCTTCCTTCTGCCGCAAAGCCCTTCCCAGGAGGCCTTTTTATTCACCTCACTGAGTTCCAGCTGGTACCGCTCTGCTGACTGCTGGTGCCCAGGAACACCTGCGGGAGGTCACGGACAGAACCCTGGGGAAAAGGCAGTGGGCAAATCGGCAGAAGCAGCTAGCAGCCCAAACATTTATTACAGGACTAGCCAGGCTGCTCTGGAAGGAATTTGATCGGTGGTTGGATTTTTCTGAGGAAAGTCTATGATCTGGCCACCCTTCCTCAGTGGTTTTCCCCCAGATGACCCTCAGGTGGTAAACTCGCTTTCTCATCTGGGGAGAAAGAACTGGAAGACACTGGACAACTCTAAATGCGGTGTTGTAGCACAGATCTCACTTAGCGGTGCCACACCATATTGTCCACTGGACTACTAGCAACTCCACATGGATATCCCACTGGTGTCACTCCAAACCTGAAACAATGATCAGTTTATGCAAATTAGGATAAACTACGAGTTATCCAGGCCGGCCAGTGCGGCTCAGCTGTTGAGCATCGACCCATGAACCAGGAGCTTAGGGTTAGATTCCTGATCAGGGCACATGCCCAGGTTGCGAGCACGATCCCGTGGGAAGCGTGCAGTAGGCAGCAGATCAATGATTCTCTCTCATCATCTCTGTCTCTCTCTCTCTCTCTCTCTCTCTCTCTCTCTCTCTCTCTCTCTCTCTCTCTCTCTCTCTCTCTCTCTCTCTCTCTCTCTCTCTCTCTCTCTCTCTCTCTCTCTCTCTCTCTCTCTCTCTCTCTCTCTCTCTCTCCCCCTCCCTCTCCCCTCCTCTCTGAAATCAATAAAAAATATTTAAAAAAATAAAAAACTCCGAGTTATCCAAAATGGGTGACTCTAAGAATGTTGGACTGAGGGAACTTTATACAGGTGTGGGTAGTTGTAGGAAAACAACAAGAGGTAATCCACAAAGGGAGGCTGGTAACAGCTGAGCCATTAGGACGACCAGCCCTGAAGGAAAGGCGGGGGGATGTTTGCTGCGATCCGCGAGAGTTTCACTGGAGAAGCCACTCACAGAAACAGTGCCATTCTGTGCAGGGAAACACCAACCCAAGGTGGGCCCTCCTGGAGGGACTGAAGGGAATACACCCCCCCTTCTCCTGCCACTTCTCACCATTGGCTGAACCCACTGGAAGCCAGAGGACAAGGGAGCCTATATTTCAGATAGGGTCATCCTCCTGGGACGTGTGAGAAGTAGATACAGGTGGGAACGGATCTGAAGATAAGAGGCATGCTGCCCTTTTGCATTCCAAGTTCATCCCCTCCTGTCTGGGCCAGTTGTCTAAATAGAACCATGGGTCACCTCGTGCCATAAATCAGAAGCCTACTCTTCATCTTGCTGCTTCCATGGTCTGTACAACACAATTTCTCTGCAAACATGTAATCCGAAATCCCTGTCCCTTCTGTGTACGACACATTTATGTTCATTCCATACTCATATCACCACTAGTTCTCTTCACAAGACTCTACTGTCACCCCTCCTACCTTTTCTTAGCAGCCTCTATCGTTTTCAGAAATTATTTTTTACTTCTTTGTTTTTTGAATCTCCAAGAGGACTCTGTTCAGTACTCTATCTCCAGCACCTAGTACAGTGGCTGGCACATACAGTGGCTAAATAAACGTGCCAAACAAATGAATTACTGCAGGCCTTCACCACACATTGGCTAAACATTACAGTACATTTGTAGGCAGTCTCCTCACCATCAGTTTTGTCATCTTTGGTCCACCGCTTACACGTCTGCCAGCATGCCTTTTCTCATTCATAAATCTGATGATGTCACTTCCTTGTTTAAAATGTTTTTTGGCATACAAGTGAAGCAATCCATTCGTTGAGCAATTTTTATTGAACATACCCTATGTGTACAGGAATGGAAATCAGAGATAAGCCAACAGATTCAGAGCACTTACCAATTGCGGCGAGGTGTAGTAATATAAGGTACGGACAGCGCTGGGCAAGGATACCTGACCTCTGGGTGGGAAAGACTGTTAGAAAAGGGCTCCCAGAGGACAGAACAGTAAAAGGTACAAGCCAAGTCCTGAAGAGTTCACAAACCAGATTTAGAATGTCCCAACTCCTTAGCAGCATGTTTAAGAACCTTCATTCTCTCAGTCCTAACGCATGACTTATATTTTATGTTTTATGTCCCATATTATTGTAATTCTCTTCCACTGATTTTTAGAGAGAGTGGAAGAGAGGGAGGAGGAAGAGGAGAAGGAGGAGAGAGAGAGACATTGATGTGAGAAAAACACATCGATTGGTTGCCTCTTGCGCTCACCCTGACCTGGGCCTAGGATCAAACCTTCTTCCCAAGTATGTGCCCTTGATCAGGAATCAAACCCATGACCCTTTGGTTCACAGGCCGACACTCTAACCACTGGACAACAATGGCCTGGGCTTTCCCATATTATTTTAATTTGCACTTCTTGCTCCAGAGACAGCTGCCTACTTACAATTCTAAATACTT